CAATGAAGAGGTTGAAAAGATGGTCGTGTAAGTTAGTGGAAGGAGAGTTAAGAAGTAGTGGAGTTTAGACAGATATCAAAAGGAAGGACAGGAATGCATATAGTATGCAAAGCAAGTAAGCATGCACAAGCACAAGTACTAACCAAGCAGTACAAGGCAAGCAACGTAAGCTAATAAGAAAGAAAAGGATGGAGACTGATTTAGTGGAAAAAGAAGAAGGAAAAGAGGCAAAAGCCAATTGATATAAGATACGAGGTTGACAAAGAATCAAAAGGTTGTATGTAGGTGCACATGCAAATGCTGTGTTCTGTTGAAAGCGGGCATCATCCCTCCGGGTGCAGGGCAAACCTACTGTATTTTCTTCTGGAATGCCGCCCCAGCACACTGGAATTCCAGCGTCTCGGGGTACCGACTGAGCTAGTGTCTCAGCTCAAGGTGACTGGTGTGACCTAGAATGGGTCACCAGTGAAAGAGAAGGGACCGCAAGGAGGACCCAACGTGGCTGATGGTTCTATATTCGTACCATTGGAAACTAGCCTACAAACTAATCCATCGCTACTAACGATTAATGAGGGCACGGTCTAACTGACGTGACTCCTATGTGTGGGATTTATTGGCCAGCTGCTTATTAAATGAGATTGTATCCATGTACAAGGGCACCTTCAATATCATATACGCAATGCCCTCCAGGAAGAAGCGGTGGCGTCTCCGGGGCGGTCAATTTCTCGTGCTACATACAAAGGGAGGAAGAATAAAACTCACGCTAATATCGACAATTGAATACCTAGGTACGGATACCTTAGTAGTGTTTAGTTGTTGCTGTCTACATTCACTGAGTCTAGATGTCGTCACCTCTCCTCACACATACAAGGTCAAGTGTGACTGGTTGTCGCAGATTGTTCGACTCTGCCATAAATCACTGAATGCAGTTGACAGTCAACACTCATCAAGCCACCAATGATTATTGTCTTGGTCGCCCGTTATCGAAAACGTCTCGTCTCACTCCCTACCTCTCATTCTCGCCAGGGGAGACGCTTCCTAGAGACAGCCCAGTCGCTAAGAGAAATGATGTGTGCATCATCATTAGGAAACAATAATATCATATTTGCTTGCAGTTTATTTTGATTTATTCTAGCACAGACGTCGTCTCATTATTCAGAGTCATATAGCCAAACATCCCATGTCCGACTAACAATTCAACACTTTAATCATCAACCAGACCCTCTCTCTCTAGTTGGGGTAATCCTTAAGGTGGTAGCTCTTGAGCTTAACAAATTGGTCAAAGCCAAATTTGCTAAGTGTCTGTCCTTTGCCAGAGTTCTTCCAGCCAGTCCATGCCAGATCCTATTGTCAATCAGTCAGTAAAATGTCACTCATTACACAAGGCAGGGTCCCCTTGTCCTCAGGGCAAACGCAAAGGAAAAAGAAAAGAAAATGAACGTACCGGTGCCGGATAATCGCATCGGTTGACAAAAACAGTGCCTGCTTCCACCTCCTCGGCCAACTCGTATCCCTTGTCTGTGTCCTTGGTCCAAATACTGGCGGTCAAACCAAACTCGCTGTCGTTCATGTACTTGATGGCTTCGCTGTCATTCTTGACCTTCATAATAGGAACTGTATCATGGTCAGCAGAGATACTAGTAAAACGCTGTCGGGAAACTTACTAATTGGGGCAAATGACTCCTCAGTCATGACCCGCATGCTGTGGTTGACGCCCGTGAGAAGGGTGGGTTTCACAAAGTTACCCTTGGGAGGAGGGTTGCTGAAAGTCTCGTTTTCGGGAGTCGCGTCCTTGGCACCGTTGTCAACGGCGTCCTTGATATGCTCCTCGGCAGCTTGCTTTGATCGCTTGGAGACGACGGGTCCAATTTGAGTCTCTTTGTTGAACGGATCTCCGAGCTTGTAGCTCTTGAGCACCTTTTGCACAGCCTCAACAAACTGATCGTGAATCTTCTCGTCAACATACACACGCTCGAGAGAACAGCAGCTCTGGCCAGAGTTAAAAATAGCACCATCAACAATCTCTGCAGCAGCCCAGTCGATATCGACATCTGATCGGACGTAGGCAGGGTCCTTGCCACCCAACTCCAGACCGACATTTACAATGCGGTCAGACGCAGCTTGTTGCACAGCAAGACCTCCAGCCACAGAGCCTGTGAAACAAACAAGTTCGATCTTGGGATCGCGCACAATGGTCTCCATGACTGTGGGAGAGCCGCAGTGGAAGTACTGGCAAACACCCTCGGGCAAGCCCGACTCCTTTAGAAGATCGGTGACACGCTCAACAATGGTGGGAGTCTGAGGTGAGGGCTTGAGGATTACACTGCATCCTGCGAGAAGAGCGGGAATAAGAGAGTTGACCAGGATGAGGTAAGGGTACTAGTAACACAGAGTCAGTGAATGGACTAATGCGATGCAGCAAAACGAGGCCAGCACTTACGTTCCACGCAAAGATGATGAGAACGGGTCCGACAGGGACCTTGCGGATGAAACGCTTGAAGCCTTTCTCGGCCTCACCGTCGGTATCCTTCAGAGCTTCGTCGCTAATCTTGAGAAGGTATTCACCACGCTTAACGGCTGTGGCGACTTCGCCAGGTGTGTAGGAAATGGGGCGACCCATCTGCACAGTCAACTCCTCACCAAGTTCATCCTTCTTGGCTAGGAGGGCATCGAGGAACTTGCGAACGATGGCTTGGCGCTCCTTCAACGTTGTCTTGCGGTAGCTCTGAAAAGCCTCGGTAGCGACCTTGGGAAGAGACTCAAGGTCAGCAGCAGAGGCACCATTCCTGGTGAGGATGGCCTCATTTGTGTTTGGGGAGATTGTGGTGATTGTTTCGACAGACATAATGACGTTTATGTGTAAGGTACTTAAGTGAGAGTGAGATGAAAAAGGAAAGAGTAGAGTTGACCACCTTGGAGGTTGGAAGTGGAGTATATGAGTTGGAGGTCATGAGTAAACCTAAGGCATGTCTATCTCTGCAAGGTAGCATCTTCCATGACGGCGGTTGGCGGCTCGCGGCTCGCGGTGTTGCCCCACGTTAATTGATACTAGGTACAGCGCATTTGAAGTACCGACCTCGGCGGTCTCATGAGTGCAAACCCCGCTATAATACGATAAGACATGATAATATATCTTAAGATTGATAAAATAGAGTAGGTACCTAGGCAGTCATGAGATTGCTTAAACAATGAGTTAGTTACCGACTTGACTCAATTTACGATTCTTCACTCAAGGGTAGCTGGGAGACAGGCAACTGAGGGCGAATGTAAGAAAATCCGCCTCACCATCATCCTGATTCTGAATTGTATACATAATTGATATTGGAATCTCTATGTGTCAGTTTAAGAATGACATGATAAGTATTTAATAGCATTGGTCAAGGTCTGAACAACAATATTTAGTTGACATGAAGCTCTTTACAGGTCCTCTCAAAACTCCAGGTACTTCTTATCAGTGACGTCGTTGGCTACCCCTCCAAGTCACATGATTAGTGCCTCTAATTCGAGACAAGAACTCAACTGACCCCTGCAGTCTGAGCAAGGGATCGCGCAATGCCTTATCTTATCAGCGAACTACTTTTTTTCTACACTTGCTTCAACCTCACATAGGGACACCAATCCCAATAGCTGCCATACAATCGCATACATTATTCGACATGGCACCCGAAACCAAGAACGATTTCCTAGAAATCGCTGACAGTGATGCGGATAGCGATATCGGCTACAACTCTGAGGAAGATGATTTGCAAAAGGGTGGCCGCGGCGCCAAGCGACGGAAAGTCGAGTCCGACGATGAAGATGACATGGGAAGCCACGTTGATGACGATGGAAGCGACGACGAAGATGAGGCGACTGAGAAGGACGCAAAAAATACACAAAAGGAAGACAAGAAGGAAGACCAGTCCGAAAAGTCAAAGCGCAAATCAAAAGACACAACATCAACAGAACTGCCCGACATTACAAGGACCCTCACAAAGAAGAACCTCGTCGCCTCCGAAGCTGCCATTAAGAAATCAGGCGTTGTCTACCTTTCTCGCATACCTCCCTTCATGAAGCCCACTAAGCTGCGATCTCTCCTCGAACCCTACGGCACCATCAACCGCATCTTCCTCGCTCCTGAAGACCCAGCCTCGCATGCTCGTCGCGTTCGCGCAGGTGGTAACAAAAAGCGTTCCTACACCGAGGGTTGGGTCGAGTTCACCAAGAAGAAGGATGCCAAGGCTGTCTGCGATCTTCTCAACGCGCGCACCATTGGCGGCAAGAAGGGCAGCTACTACCACGATGATTTATGGAACCTACTATACCTCAAGGGCTTCAAGTGGCACAACCTCACAGAGCAAATTGCTGCAGAGAACGCAGAGCGCTCCAGCCGCATGAGGGCCGAGATTAGCAAGTCGACAAAGGAGAACAAGGAGTTTGTCAGGAACGTGGAGAAGGCAAAGATGCTGGACGGTATGGCGGTCAAGGCCAAGGCCAAGAAGAGGAAGGCAGAGACCCATGTGGAGGGTCAGGAGGACGAGTCGGTGCGACAGATCAAGCGGTCGTTCAAGCAAGTTCCTCTTGCGAAGAAGAAGACGGATGGCGAAGATCAGCCAGTCGAGGTGACGAGGGTATTAAGCAAGATTTTCTAATTTCATACAAGCCACACAGTTTTGTTATTTATCTTTTTGTCTATAATACCTGATTTTGCCAAAAAACCATGAATTTCTTGGGGAATAGAATAAAATATCCATATAAAACATGATGGCCTATCCAATGATCTGCATGATCAAATCTCATTCGAGCCAAGTGAGGTGGACCCTGAACTTTATGACTGCAGCACTTGCATTTTCCAAAATTTGCCCCGCGCCTGCCAAAAAATATTCTGCCCGATAAGCTGCTTATCAACCAGCGGCGAACCAATTTCTCCCACTATTGGGTTTCCAAAGAGTCACTGAGCATCGTCCATTTTCAACCCAAAACAAACACCATCAAATTCACCTACGACATCGTTGCCCAGCATGTCGATGGACTTGGATGACCAGCCTATCTCCATAGCCCCTGTCGCTCAGCAGCAGGGTGCTGCAACGTGAGTCTTGATCTTCTTGGAAACACCCCGCACCACACTTGTCGTCTTGGGCGCAAATGCTAATCCATATCTCTTTTTCAGTATTCTGTGCTGCAACTGTGGTGCCCCGATCGATGGAACTGCATCATCTGGCGCTCTCTGCTATGACTGCATCAAGCTCACTGTCGACATTTCCCAGGGCGTCCAGCGAGAGGCGACGCTCAACTTCTGCCGAGACTGCGACCGATGGCTCATGCCCCCCACCAGTTGGATTGTCGCCGCTCCCGAATCTCGCGAACTGTTGGCACTGTGCCTCAAGAAACTTCGAGGACTGAACAAAGTCCGTATCGTCGACGCTAGTTTCATCTGGACCGAGCCCCATTCGCGAAGAGTCAGGGTCAAGATCACCATTCAAGATGAAGTACAGGACGGCATGCTGCTCCAGCAAACTTTCGAGGTCGTGTATGTTGTGGCGTACCAACAGTGCCCTGATTGTGCCAAGTCATACACTGCCAACGTCTGGCGAGCCGCTGTCCAGGTCCGCCAAAAGGTTCTTCACAAGCGAACCTTCCTGTTCCTCGAACAACTTATTATGAAGCACGGCGCCCACAAGGATACCCTTAACATCAGAGAGGCCAAGGATGGTATTGACTTTTTCTTCTCACAAAAGAACCAGGCCGAGAAGTTCATCGACTTCCTCAACTCCGTGGTGCCTGTCAAGACCAAGGCCTCTCAGGAGTTGATCTCTCAGGATATCCACACTTCCAAGAAGTCTTTCAAGTTCACATACTCGGCCGAGTTGGTGCCTATATGTAAGGACGACTTGGTTGCTTTGCCTATCAGGATGGCTAAGCAGTCCGGCAACATCTCACCTCTTCTTCTCTGCCACAAGATCGGCACTTCCGTCTACCTGTTGGACCCCCAGACCCTCCAGACTTGCGATATCAGTGCGCCTATCTACTGGAGAGCCCCCTTCTTGTCTCTGACCGACACCCATGAGCTCGTCGAGTTCATCGTCATGGACATTGAAACCACAGCAACACAGAAGGGCAAGTGGACACTTGCCGAAGCCACAGTTGCCCGAGCCACTGATCTCGGTGTCAACGACCGAACGTACTTCACAAGGACTCACATGGGCCGACTTCTCCAGCCTGGTGATTCCGTTATGGGTTACCTCCTGGCTGGCACCGTCTTCAACAACAGCGAATACGAGGCGATCGAGAACTCCAACACATACTCGTCAACAATTCCTGACGTGATACTAGTCAAGAAGCACTACCCCCGTCGTAGAAAGAACCGCAAGAGAAACTGGCAGCTCAAGCGCATGAACAAGGACGAGGGTGAGCTTCTTCCCAAGAAGGCAGACCAAGAACGCATGGACCAAGAGTACGAGCAGTTCTTGAGAGATGTTGAGGAAGACGAGGAGCTCCGTGCTACTCTTGCCCTGTACAAGTCACAGAAGAGGGCTGAAGAAGAGATGAGCGTTGCTGAGACCGAGGGAGATGACGAGGCTCCTCATGTTGACATGGATGAGTTGCTGGACGACTTTGATGAACTTACAATGCAGGACCGGCCAATGGAAGATTAGGACTTACACGAATAAAAGAATTGATTTGATTTCCAAGAGAATATAGCTCTTTGTGTGTTATGGGAATGTTTGTGAAAGTGTGTCTATATGAATGAGGGAATCTCATCGAGTGAGGATTTGGCGGGTGCTTTGTCTTCCGTACGGCGGTTTAGCACTCTTGATTTACGGCGGTCAGACATTCTTTTCGTGATGCCGAAAATGTCATCATCGTCTATGTCTTCGTGAACATCGCTGCGCTTAGCTATGCCGTGTGTGCTATCCCCTGGTACTGTAGTCGGCCGTTTAACACTAGAACCGGATCGTGAGGTTTTGTTCATAGTTGTGCTCAAAGTTCGGGGTGTACTAAACGACGACCGTGGTGCTGAGTGCGACACAACTGGACTCGAAGTGTGGACTGAGCGCGCTGCTTTTGTCACAGGCTTGCGTGAAGGCGTACTGAGGTCCAATTCCTCTCCGTCGTCCGTCTCATCATCATCCGCTAGATAAAGTTGCCTCTTCTTCCCTGAACTAGGTTTCTCGATCTGTCTCATTCGCAACGGAGTGATCTTTTGTGAATCAAACCCAGCAGAAGCTCTTGTCTTGGCTGCGTCGGCCAGACCTGCTGATATCCACTTGTGCTCCTTCCTTGGACTTTCCATGAGACCCTGCAGATTTGACCCGGTGAAGGGTGTGTCGTTTTTATTGGAAGAGTCGGCGAGAAGTCTGCGCTGCTTGGATGCACGATGCGCGGTCTCCTGGCGCTGCCGCGCAAGGAAGGTAGGCGGGCCGACGATAGGGCGCTCTATCTCGCGAATAGTATCCGCGTTCTGGTGCTTAGCCAGGTTCTTTAGGCGCTCGTACTCTGCGCGATGGAGATGAACGGTGAATTGATGAGCCATGTTGAGAAATTCGTCTTCGACCATACGATAGCGGTCATCGTGGTCGAGACCTGGTCTCATGAATCTTTGGGTTTGGTCAGCCGGTGATCTAGTTTAGAAGAGGGAATGAGACGGACCTTTCTGGCGGTGGCTCTGGAGGAGGCGATGTCGACGGACTTCGCGTGCCATCTATAAAATAGAATAAGTATATGTGAGGTGGTGATGGAGATGAGATGCCATACCTTCTGATTTGACAACGCGGTCAAGACGCGGTTTTTTTGTAGATGCTGAAGGACTGCCAATGGCAGGATTCGATAAACGAGATGGTGTCTGGTTTGGACTTTCGAGTTTTAAAGATGATCTCTTCCCAGGGCTTGATTGAGTCGGGGAAGTCTTCCACGGTAGTTTTCTCCCCATGGCCGAAGGTACATTATTGGTGAGATAGGGTGTGTAGACGCAACTGGATGGTGGTTGAAGTTTGGTGGGGTTGACCGACCTTCTTAGGCAGCTGTGCTGAGCTAAACGTGTGAGTGAAGTTTAACAAACTCACATATAAAGACAAACTGAACGATCTAAACACTTGATAGATTATGAGACCAAAGTGAATAATCTGAGCCTATAAAGTGTAGTTTGAATTGTTACAAATCTTATTTTCTTGTTATCCTCGCCATTGTAAGTGTGATATAAGCTCTCATGATGAGTTTGACTACTAAAGTCAAAGACTGTTAAAAGACGAAACTGTCGCAGTCTACAAATTCCTGAAGAGGCGAGTGATAATATCAGTAGTGTAGTATCAAAACCGCGTAATAATATTCGTAGCAGTTGCGGCCTATTTAGAATTTAATTCACTTAACATTGTCTGTAGCACGATGGGCTGTACAACTTGGGACTCTTCAGTAGCACTGGTGAGTTTCCTTTCCAACTCAAGGTTGTATTTAATTACTAACCTAACTGAATTAAGAGCAATGCGGTCTCGCGAAAGGTCGCAAGTAAATACTTGTCCCTCTCACAGAGCCAAACCTTCCTATCTGTCTATATGATTGGGAAGGTCCAGGAGAGTACTGCCATCATCGAATCGCTTTGAAGCTCGGGTCTACTCAGCCAAAGCTCCATCTTCTTATCTTGCGGCGCCAGGTCACAAGCGATCGTCTGGTAAATATAGATCCGAGCTAACAAACTGGACAGTCTCGCCCAGCCCTCGTTAGCAACAAGCTATGTCTAGATAAAACAACAGTCAGTCATGTGCTCTACTGGGTAGCAGAAAAAATGGCCGCCTAAGTCTTGGGATATAAAAATAAGTAGTCTAAGAACTATAGCACAAAGGGCATAAAGTGACCTACTAATTTCGTCTCTTATGCTTCTAGCGGTCAATTTTTCTGATACTCTGAGGGCGCTCTCCCTCTCTGTCTTATGCTGCTACCTACTCCACGACCACTCCACACAATGCTTGAAAAACATGCGTAAAGTACAGTCTCAATTACGAAACCAACGCCATTCTCCAGATTCCACTATCCCTTCTCATTACCCCATAGTTTCGTTCGATTTCTCCAGACTGGAGTCTGTCCCCCCGGCATCGGAGAAGTCTCGCCCAAGTTTCCTTCACGTACCTCTCACCGACCCGCCACGGTGGATACGCCATTGTGTAATAGCCCAAGGAAACACTAAATAGTTTTTTCTTGTCCTTCCCATTGTTACAGGTATTTAATTCAGAGTAAATAAATTCATGATGGTCGGACTTTGTCGGGACAGGGTATGGATCCTATATTGCAAACCTGCCTGGCAAATGACATAACAATAACTAGAACAGCAAATAGTAAACAAGCAGGCAGTTTATAACGTCAACTCTACTGTTTTTTTGCCAGTCACTAGACCTCGCTACCATTTCCCGTACCCACCGTAAAAGATTAAAAAAAAAAAACTTCCCTTTACGCCGGAATCCACCGTGTCGTACCTCGTTTGTACCTTTTGATGGTATCGTAGAACAGAATTCTTGTGTACACGCCCCCCTGGTCCCCAGACAAGCGAGCGGCTCCCATGCGGGGAAAAATAGGTAAATAAAAAAATTGCGGAGGTGGAGGGAAAAAAGAACGATGGATGCTTCTCTCTCTTCCCCGGATAGGAGTTAGACAACAGCCCAACTCAGGGGAGTGCGTGGCAGGGCCAAGTCCGAGATCAAACCCCGCCTTCACGGTAAATCGGAATCTTGATACCGCTTCGGCGATAGCAACCTCGAAACCGCGGTAGCAATAGCAAGTAGACAGGTTGAACAAGAAACTCCCCCGAGACCGCGAAATTTCCCCGAATATTCATCGATAAAGTCCCACCCAACCTCTTTTTCCGCTTTCGGTTACCACTACAGCAAGAATAGTACTTTTACCTAATAAAGCAGGAACCGCCTGTAAGCCCAAGGTAGTCCCCAGGTGAGAGGCGGGCCAATCGTAGTCTTGGATCGTGGGCCTCAAGGTGTTCATCCTAGTGTACGTAGGTTCCTTGCTGTATCTGCGGGTAAAAGCTCTGGCGTACGCCAAGAATGCACCCTTGCCATTATCCTGCACATGTGAATCTACAAAATAACCCATATCTTCTGTTTCACTACATTATCCTCACATAAAGGCCATGGAAAACGTGGTGGTTAATCAACTGTATGTAGCAAATGCAGTCAAGGTATATTAGAAGCTGTCAGCAGCATGCTAAAACAAGGATCGTTCAATGCTTTTTGCAGAGACCCAGTCATGATAGGTGTAGTAATAGTAAACATTTCCAAACGCCAGTTCTTTCCAGGGTCTTGTAGGTAATTTTGACCACTTTCATGAGTTCGTACACAATCCCAACCATTCAAAGTCTATCTAAGCAGCGTCACGAACAACCTTGTCAACAGCCTTGGCAAAGTACTCCACGTTGTTTTCGTTGAGGCCAGCCATGCTGATACGACCGTTCTTGGTCATGTAGACGTGGAATTCTTCTCGAAGCTGAAGTACTTGCTTCTCGCTCAAGCCAGTAAAGCTGAACATCCCGATCTGGTCTGTGATGTGGTTCCAGGTGCCAGGGGTCTCGAGCTCTTCGAGTTTGGCTCGGAGAACGTCACGCATGCTAATGATACGGCCAGACATGGTGCGTAGGTTCTCCTCCCACTCAGCAAAGAGGTCGCGATCGTTGAGAACAGTGCTGACGATGCGGGCACCGTACAGAGGAGGGTTGGAGATTTCAGATCGCTGGAGGATAGCCAATTGAGAGCCAATGCGAGTGATTGTGTTTGAAGCCCCAGGAGCAGGAGATGTGACGGCGTGGAAGCAACCGGCGCGCTCTCCGTAGAGGCCGAAGTTCTTGGCGAAACTCTGAGCAACAACAAGCTCGAAGCCCTGGTCGACGAAGTATCGGATAGCCCAGGCATCCTTGACAAGATCGCCAGAGGCAAATCCTTGGTAGGCAGTATCGAAGAAGGGGAAGTGGTTCTTCTCCTTCATGATAGAAGCAATCTCAGTCCACTGATCTTGCGTAGGGTCGACACCAGTAGGGTTGTGTGCGCATGCATGAAGGACGAAGACGGAACCCTCGGGAGCGGATTGCAGAGTCTTCTTGAAACCCTCGAAATCCAGGCCCTTGGTCTCCTTGTGGAAGTAAGGGTATGTGTCGATCGACATGCCAACATTCTTGAAGATCTGGTGATGGTTCGCCCATGTGGGATTTGAGAGGTAGACAGTCTGGTTGCCCTTGTAGAACTTGGCAAGGAAAAGAGCTCCCAAGTGTACGGCACCGGTACCAGAGATTGTCTGTAGTGTCGTTGAGCGCTTGTCTTGGATGGCTGAAGAATCGGGGCCAAAGACTAGCTCGGCAGCCTTGGATGTGAAGCTGGCAATACCCGCGATTGGGGCGTACTCGTGGTTGAGTTCAGGGTCGTTTCGGAGGATCTCATCAGCCTATGACAAGCGTGGGGTTAGCTCAAATTCCAGGACAAAAGGTATGACCAAAGTCGTGGCGGCGGGGCGGTTGAGTTGGGGCAAGCTGTGACGCAGATTTGCATAAGAAGGATCCAGATGGCGCATTGTGAGGGCGATCCCATGACACAAAATTCGCAGTACTGAAAAGACTTGAAGCAGGCCGAGTCGGCAGTGTAATCATCGTACATACAGGGCAATGCCTGGAAGTACAACGTGTGTATGCGACAGGGGAATGTTTGGTAAATGAGATAAAAGGTAATGCCATGAAGTGCAAGCAGACAATAGTGTATAAGGTTGGTTGGCGCAAGATTCATACCTTCTTGACGACTGGCAACACCCAGGGCTTTGCATTCTCATCTCTGTATGCGCCGATACCCTAACAAGAAACCAGAGGTTAGTATTCATGACAAAATACAGATAAAAAAAAGAGTTGAACTTACAAGATCAATCTTGTTGGGACTGTCGTCGGCCTTGTACTCTCGTGCAAGACCAAAGAGAGGGTCTTCAGGTGCCTGGGGCACGACTTCGGCAGGGAAATTTGTAGCAGAAACCATTTTGGGGGAGATATGATGGACGATGGAGTTGAGACGAGAAATGGAGGAAGAAGAAGAAGAAGGAACCGGCGCCGTTTTATCAGTCGAGCTTGAGCTTGAGATGCTCAGAGACTGAGTCTGAGTCTGACCCTGACGGGGTGTGTTCAGTGACGGTGTCATAGTGGGCTGCGGCACTGAGGGATTGTCGATTAGGGGGGTAGGACGAGAAAGAGAGGGGGTCTTTGGGGTCTTGGAGCGGTCCGACGTTCTGGCTTTAGTGGAACTTGGGGGCGTGTGTCTTGTTGCGGAAGTTGAGTTTTGCGGGTGAGGTAAGGTGAACTGAGGTGAGAGACTCGAGACTTCCTTTCAACCTATCGGCCTGAACCCCTGCGGGAGTGTGCGTCTTTGGGGTAAACAGAAAAGGTACCTAACAGCAACTTTGATCAGTAAGTTACGGTCCGCCGCAAGTCATGTTTGATTAACATGGAAGAAACAGTGGAAAGCCTGGTTTAAGATAATAATAGAAAGATGGGAATGTGCTGCGAATTTGTTTGTCACAAAGCCGCCTCATTTTTTGTTTCTGGTCTGGGAATGAATGATAGCCCGTGTAAGAGAGAGAGGTGGGATGTCCATTGCTGCAAGCTGCCAGGCTTTTTCTTTCCCCAGAGCCCAACGGTCTTTTTCCGTGCTGCTATTCTGTTCCTTATCTCCAGAGGTCAAAGAGACTCGGAACATGGTCCGGCTGGATTCCTTACAAGTAAAGATCCATGAATATCCACTTCAAGGGCCAGTTGTTGCGTAAACCAGATTCTGGCCTGATGCCATTGGCCATGTCCCCTAGCATTCAATGCACGCGGGCAAATCAGGCGCCGTTCTTCCGGACCACTGGAGCTCTCGGGGGAAGGGGCGCCCACCCCGTAGGTACCAAGCAGAGGTGGAAGGTACCTGGGTGCAGGTGGGCTCACCTCACCTCATCGAGTTGAGCGGTGGGCTTTTTCTTCCAGCTTGTGCTTGTACTTGTGCTTGTGCTTTTTGATGCTATCGTTGCATGGGACAACATAGGACTTGCGCTGTTTGGTTTGGGCTTGTACTTTGTGCTTGAGGGGGTGCAGGTACTTGTTTGACTGAGATTCGAGCTCAAATCATTCCAACAGGGGCAGGCCCAACGGACCAAGGGCAGTGCAGTAGAGTAGAGTAGAGTAGGTAGCAATAGTACCTATAGAGGAAACTTCCTCTTGCGTTTTATTTTGAGAAGATTGAAAACTTACCTTGCAATAGCTGCTGTTCCTATATGTTCTCTGGTGACCCTAGGATAGGAATATTCTAAGAAGTTCTGTTGTTTCCGAGCAGAGCTCTTGTAGTACAGATGGATAGTGAGTACTCGGGCAATAATACTATACTGCCTTGTGACGATCAGACTTGCTTGATGGAGAGTTAATCGAGAGTTCGTGCGCGTAGATAGATACTGATAGTATACACGATGGTGAAACCGTTAAAAATAAAGCACATCTCACTCTGTCGAGTTTGCGACAATTCTGAATCTTTTATGTTTGGACTATTACCGAAAATGCCCCGTGAGCTTGTGAAAAAAAGCTTGTGAAGCTCCATCTAGGCTATCACGTCAATGTCGAGCTCTCATTTCCATCGCCCGCCTTGGTACACCTCGGCTCCTTGCTCGACCCAACGTCACACGCTGACCGGCAATAGTAGGTATGCCGGTCATTTTCACCTTCCACCGAGGTAAGTACCTTTTCGTAACAGAGTTTCTTATGCTTTAACTTGGCATGGGTCTAAGACGGGCGAGCTGACGTAGTGTTTTATCGGTTCAAGTAATTGATCCCATGTCCAGTTCCATAGCGAATCAACTTTTGAAACTGAGAACAGACACAAGTTATGGTGTGATATGTGGTCCCTTTGATCAGTTGGGTTCTCTAATCTGATCTACATCTCATATCATGCCACAAACATCGCTTACAACTGTCCTTTCGGGTACCATAAAATACCATGCCATACAGTAACGTATTTCTTTAGATCCAGTCTCTTTTCTAATATACATTGCGGGTTCTCTCTACTTCTTCCCCAAAAACCCTCCCCTATCGTGACTCTAATAGATCCATTCCCCGGAAAAAAGAACCCAAACCAATTCTTCCAGACCCTTTCGATTCACTTCCCCTGTATGCCCCCATAACAGAATACATGCATCGTGTCTTTAGCCCCGTCACGGGGAACTAAAAAAAATCTTAGACAAACATCACGGGGCCTCAGAATGCACGGTTGGGTAATAGTAGCTAGCCCATCTCCGAATTCGCCCGCCTAGAGGACGTAACATTATGGATTTGATTTGTCGTATGACAATTATGGTTCAGTCAGGATGGATCGTATTCATATGCATACCTCTCTGAATCTACATCTCAATCTTAAATCTGAGGGCCCAGCTCTGACCCCGTTTTGGCCGTTTGTATACCTAATTAGGCGTCTAGTATCGTATGTCTTGTAGTATCGAATGTTGAATCTGATCCGCCCTGAAGATACAGCCCATGACTGAGCAACTAAAAATGTAAATAAAATAGCATAATAGATGTTGCCAGTATAAGACAATATCTCCTGGTATATGTCTCAAGACAATAAGCGCGTACTACTTTATCGAGTTGTTAATCGAACACGATCTAGTGGTTACTTCCGAATCATCAGATACTAAGACCATTGTTACTTCTCACTTGTTCATTCTAGATTGCGACAGATATTGATGCAGAACCTCTCATCTTGTTCCACTCCCCTTACTATAAGACATTATAGCAGGTGAAGCACGCTGTTATATGGTTGTAGATACACCCACTTCTATTTTATACTTGAATTGGAGGTTGTTTGCATTGCCTTGTCATTTCATCCGACTTGCCCAGTTTATATGAATCTAAACCTACACTCTCTTCCCTCCTTTCACTGTCTCAGAATATAAGATCCCAAACGACAAGGAACGCGCATAGTCCGCCTGCTGCAAAGAAAGTATACTTGGCTGGACTAGCCCGTTGGGTCGCTTTTTTGAGTTCCTTATTACCACCGCCAACGTTTTCTGTTGTCGAAAATGAGTCTGACACTAACTGTTCGATATGAGCCGATTGCGTTGCAAGATTGTTTACAAGCAGCGATTGTAACTCGGATATTTCCAGTAACGACTTCTCAGCAGTCCTGCGAAACAAGGGTCAGCTCACATATCCCTTAAGACAATATATTTCCCTATGGGGTGGCGGTTGCACTTTGGACTCTAGTGCAGAAACAACCCAACAAAGGTGTATCGATTGACATCGAAAGATGCATAGATACGTACCTGACTTTGTCCAAGCTACTCTCGAAATGCTTCATCATGTCTTGGTTCCCTTCCTCAAACATCTGAATCTGCTCCTCCGTCAACCCCTGGCTCGGGAACTGCCCGTCATCGGACATAGGGATCTGCCCAGCAGGGGCTGTCTGCGAGAGCCGCCGGGCAGAAGGAGGAAATTCCGCAAAGTCCCCAGCGATGCCAGCTCTCGAAAGCATGCTACGGCTCTTTTCCATCTCTCGCATCAGTCGTGCTTCCATCATGTCCTGTTGCGTTCGGCAGCATGATTCCAGCCGTTGCCGTAAAAACCAGAGAACGCCATCCCGATGGATGCCTACATCTCGCGCCTTGGCCTCTGCTTCCTCGTGCTCCTTCGTTTTGCTACTAACTATTCCGCCAGAAGCCCATGAACCCAGAGCACCTAGACCTCCTACATATTTCTTTCGAATCATGGCTGTTTCGGTCTCTCGCCGTAACTGCTCGGCCTCATCGAGAGCGCGAATGCCAGCATTCAGTTCTCGAATCATCTGTTTCGCATTGGCATCGACTTCTTCTCTGTCTCGGTCAGAAAGTACTCGGCTTTGACCTTGTGCAGCTCGGCTATTCGTCTTTCGTGGTTGCGCAGTCGAGAGGTAGGCCTGTCTAACATCTTGAAGTTCTCGATGAAGGCTGGTGATATGCGAATTCTATAAAAACTGATTAGCTTGGAGAATGTGTCGCACTGAATGTGAAGCACTGACAATTCGATATGCCTCTTTCAGGAAACCATCTATAGCATCCAGGCTGACACGCTTTCTTGTTTCCGGCGCGTTGCGCTCCCTGAGGAGCTCGTTGAAGGTGACTGTGATGTTCATGGCGTCCAATGCGAATCGTTATAGATGGGGTAGTCGTCGCAAAGAAAAGAAGTGGAATTCAAAAGAATCGTTTGGTAATCGATGATGCCGTCCCAAAGTTTTTGGTGTTTTGATTTGTTTAAGTAAACGGTCACCAATGTGAGGATTAAAGGTTGTAGACACCATGGCTGTATCATAGCTCTGAGCTCTGACGCACATTGACAAGCCACATGGCTTAGTCATCCAGTGGAGGTCGAATGCCGAATAATCAAATTCTCGCCTTTAGTATTTATAATACAACCTCTTGAATCTTATATTTCTAATAATGGCAAATTATGAACCAAATATTGGCATCCGCTTATTTCTCCACTTAGCAAAATCTTTCAACAAGACGATTCCCGCTCATGATTTACAGCTTCAAGACTATTAATTTTGTCTTTCCTCCTAACTTTGACTGCAGCAATCGATCTGATAGCGGTGATGATGTGATTTACTCTCAAGAAACATTGAAAGCTTTCATAGCATCGCTTGATTACAGTTCATCATGTTTGCTAACGCCCCGGCCTGACCGTTGATATTCAATATGAATCCGATTGCGGACCGGACCGGGGCTCGGTATGAAGTGGGGATCGTCGGGTCCGTGAGTCCAGATTCGGCCGGTCTCCCGGAAATAGAAATCTCGAGGTGTCGGGAATAATGATCTATGGAGAAAGTTCTCCGATTCCGCGGGTAGTCCAAGGATTAAAAGACTTGACTGCCACTTCTTTTAGTTTTCCACGTCATGATTGTTGTTAGTTCTCTATCTTTCTTCAGAAAAGATGACCGAGAAAGACGAAAACCAGCCCTTACCCAACCACTCGGGCTCTCACAGATACGATCACGACGCTATCAGTATACAGAGCAGCCTATCTGACACCCCAACAGCTCGAGATACTACTCCTGAAAAGCTTGGCGAATCTCTAAATAATGGAATATCAGATCAAGCTGATGAAGGAGTTCTGGGTGACCCCGAGAACATGACTAGAGTCTCCAGCGGACCAGCATACAGCACTTTCTCAAAAAACACGAAGAGATGGATATTGGCCTTGGTCACTGCCGCTAGTTTCGTCTCTCCCATGACAGCCAATATCTATTTCCCTGCGCTAAACCCAATTGCCAACGACCTGAACATTTCCATCTCACTTATCAACCTCACTTTGACATCCTATATGATCTTCCAGGGGTTGTCGCCCACCATATTCGGTGATTTTGGCGACATGGCAGGACGTCGGCCCGCTTACATCGTTGCATTTTCTATTTACATAGGCGCCAATATCGGTTTGGCTTTGCAGCGGAACTTTGTTGCGCTCTTGATCTTGCGGTGTGTCCAAAGTGCTGGTAGCAGCGGCACCCTGGCTCTCGGTTACGCTGTCGTGGCCGACATTTCATCAACAGGCGAGAGGGGAAAATACATGGGAATTGTTGGAGCAGGAATCAATATCGGGCCTGCTCTTGGGCCTTTGCTGGGTGGTATATTGAGTCAATACCTTGGGTGGTCTGCCATCTTTTGGTTTTGCGCCATCTTCTCTGCAACCTGGATGATCCCTTTCATCCTCTCCGCCCCCGAGACATGCCGCAACGTCGTTGGCAACGGGTCAATAGCGCCTCAGAAATGGAACAGGACATTGCTCGATATTTACAGTAATCGGGGGGGTGTCCCGGACCAAAATGTCCCGAAAAGAAAACTCAAGTTTCCAAACCCCTTGAAGACGCTGTACATCGTCTTCGATAAGGAGATGGCTATTATCTTATGCATCAACGCGATCATCTATATCGCTTTCATCCTGACAGCAGCGACTTTATCAACACTCTTCAAAGAAATTTATGGATACAATGACCTCCAGGTTGGTCTTTGCTATTTGCCTTACGGTTTCGGCTGTGCCTTTGCTATTGTTGCCCAAGGACGCGTCTTGGACTGGAATTATCGACGGATTGCAAAAAGGATTGGCTTTACTATCGACAGAAAACGTGGGAACGACTTGGCAAAGTTCCCAATCGAAACAGCGCGCATCCAGGTTATATATCCTATATTGCTCGCTGGCATTGTTACGCTCATCGGATACGGCTGGGCTCTGCAAGTTGAGACTAGCGTTGCTGTCCCACTTGTTCTAGTGTTCCTCATCGGCACGTTCGTACCAACTTCTTTTAGTGTTCTCAACACTCTGATTGTCGATCTGAACCCCAGTGCACCAGCTACAGCAACTGCTGCCAATAATCTTGTGCGTTGTATGTTTGGAGCTGCATCTACTGCGGCTATCGACCATATGATCGAGGGAATGGGAAGAGGTTGGTGCTTCACATTCCTTGCGTTACTCAACCTAGCTATGATTCCACTCCTGAGACTTGTCGATAAAAAAGGTATGGGATGGAGAACGGCAAAAGCAAAACGAGAAGCATTGAAGGCAACATAAAAGTGTTCGAGTTCGTGTAGTTATCTAGTCATTTTTTATCATATTAACAGTTATCACTTATAGAGCTGCGACAGCGTGTTCCAAAGGTTCTCTCTGAGCCTCCCACATCAGCCAGTCGGATCGCGTCGTTCTATATATTGTTAGTTCCGCCGGGCTGGTGTATAGAGGTGTGAATACTCACGGTAATAAGCCCATGGCATTGATCTTCCAAATTCCCACACCTAGTGCAACAAGCTGGCACACGACGTACACAAACTTGACCTGTAGCAACTGGGATGAAAGAGACTGAGATGCTTGAAAACGTTCAAATGCCTGATTCGTGTTCATGAGACCCATCAAAGGGTTCTTGAATGCCATGAAAACCATCATGATGCTGAAGATCTGGAGTGAATTGCCCGACATGTACATCATGATGGCGGTCATGGGCAAACCCTTGACGGGAGCCAGCGCGACTTCCCAGGCCTTCTTGAGCTTCAAGGTATCCATCTCTTCAGCGGTCGGGGGCTTTCGTGGCTGAACTTTGGCAACGTCTTTGTTCTTCTATATATCGCATTAGTCACCTAGACTATTTGACCGCGCGATCAGACTATACTGACCTTGGAGCTGGTGACGGCTGTTCCGGAGCTGTAACCTGGGGGGTCTTGAATGCCAGACTGCTTAGCCTTGGCTGCGGGAGCGTGCTCGAGCTGGGAAACCCAGAAGGGAGAGTTGGAAGAGGCGGCCATGTTGTATCGCTTCAGATCTCGTATATTCGTGATTGTCCGGGTTATTGTTGATTACAGGCGCAAAGGCAAATGCGATGTAGGTAGGATACAACTCGAGGAGGCGACGTTGACGTTGGTTGATTGGATTAGGTTGACGATTGGCTGGTCCACATGTGGTGTGGCCTTTGACATGTGGCGTAATTGTGGCAGCTGTACTCCGTAATTTCGGTTTAATTGCAACCCTCTATCTTATCAGCACCTTTTTGGCTTACATTACTCGGGGTCTCAAGATCCCCTTTCCACTCCCCGACGACGCCGGTTCACGAAGCGAAACGACCCAAGTACGACCTCGGCAGACGTCGCAAACCGTTCTCGAGAAATACAGCGCGTTCCTCGTTTCATCGAATTTCAAAGCAGCCCCATAGCGACAGCGAACGATCGAAAAAAGACATCACATCCCTAGCGACCTGCAACCGTACCTCACTGTAGGCATTGGCCTACTACATGTGACCATCCCCTCCCATTTACCATCCGCCATCCACCCTCTACAACCGTTTACGCTGGGCAACACAGCCCGTCCAATTAGGTCGGGAGTATCATACAAGTTTACAGCTACAAATCTTGGAAGAACTCAGAAGTGAGGGGCTTGTTCTAGAATAGGGCAACCATTCCGCATTCAAGGTTACCGAAACCCAGTTCCGTCGCATTATTTGGGATACAAGTACAACACCATGTCGAGCGCCGCCGGTGGAGGGGACTCCAAATTGTTTGCTCGAGTAAGCCTTCCTATTCTTCTATCATGTCTCAGCCTCGTAGGACCTAAGGTCTTATAAGTCCTTGATTTTCCATACGTCGAAAATACTTCTTGGTCTCCGTTGGTTGTCTTCACCTGCTTTTGCGCAGACTTTGATTTTGTCAAAAGCATTTTTTACGTTTTAATTGAGTTTACTTCTCAATGTCAATATCGACAGTCCGTTGCGTAGCGACGTGAACGATATGATACGATGTCCGCTATATTCCTTGCATACATACCCCCCAAGTCGATTTATGATGGGCCGAGACTAAATAATAAACAGGGCAAGGTTGCTGAGCTGCGTCTCGAGCTAAACAGTGGAGGAAAGAAAGACAAGAACTATGCGGGCAAGAAGATCGCACTCAAGAAGATTGTCGCAAACATGACCATGAGCAACAACGACATGGTGGCCTTGTTCCCCGATATCATTGGGTGCATGGGCATCCAGAGTCTAGAGATCAAGAAGATGTAAGTCAGTCGGTATTGACAAGTTTGCTTCGTTGCTAATTCATAATAGGTGTTTCTTGTTCCTGGTCAACTACGCTAGGATGAGGCCTGAGATTGCCGTAAAGGCAATCCCCGTTTTACAACATGTGAGTTTCATCCCTATCCATCAGCAGTAGCAATGACTGACATAAATCTAGGATATGGAAGATCATAATCCTCTAGTACGAGCGTTGGCTCTAAGGACAATGTCTTACATCCATGTTAGAGAGTTCGTCGAAGCTACCGTACCAATAGTCAAGCACATGCTGAAAGATGGCGACCCTTATGTGCGAAAAACGGCCGCGTTCTGCGTAGCCAAGCTCTACGACCATGATCGAAACATGGTTGAGAGCTCTGACCTCATTGATAGGCTGAACTCACTTCTAAGGGACGACAATCCTACTGTTGTTGCGAGTGCCCTAGCTGGTCTAATGGATATCTGGGAGCGCAGCGATGCCATCAAACTCACCATTGACTATAGCAATGCTTCCAAAATGGTGGCTATTCTTCCCGACTGCTCCGAGTAAGGCAAAACACAGACAGCATTCCCGAGACTATCGCTAATCTTGTGTCAACAGATGGGGTCAGACATATATTCTAGAGGCTCTCATGTCCTATGTACCACAAGAATCCGGAGAGGCGGTACTCCTGGCCGAGCGGATATCGCCGCGATTGTCGCATTCTAATTCGTCCGTCGTGTTGACCTGCATTCGGGTGATTCTATATCTGATGAACTATATCGCCGATCAGAAGCAGATCTCGGCTTTGTGCAGAAAACTCTCACCACCTCTTGTCACACTTCTCGCAAAGGGTCCCGAGGTACAGTACCTTGCCCTCCGAAATGCTTTGTTGATTCTTCAGCGACGGCCCGAAGTGCTGCGAAACGACATCCGTGTCTTTTTCTGCAAGTACAACGACCCCATTTATGTCAAGGTTACAAAGCTGGAACTCATATTTATGCTTGCTACTGAGGATAATATTGATGAGGTGTTGACGGAACTGCGAGAGTATGCTACTGAAATCGATGTCCACTTTGTGCGCAAGGCGGTGCGCGCCATCGGTAAGCTGGCGATCAAGATTGAACCAGCGGCACGACGATGTATCAACTTACTTCTCGAGCTTGTGGCTACCAAGATTACATATATTGTGCAGGAAGCCACAGTGGTTATCCGAAACATCTTCCGAAAATACCCCAACCAATACGAATCCATCATCAGCACTTTGTGCGAGCACCTCGATTCTCTGGATGAGCCTGAAGCCAAGGCAGCTATGGTTTGGGTAATTGGTCAGTACGCAGACCGAATAGAGAACAGCGATGCTTTGTTGGAAGACTTCCTATACTCATTTGCGGAGGAGCCTGTTGAGGTCCAGCTTGCTTTGCTCACTGCTACAGTGAAGCTCTTCATTCAGCGACCTACCAAGGGACAGGAGTTGGTCCCGAAGGTTCTGAAGTGGGCAACAGAGGAGACTGACAACCCTGATCTTCGAGATAGAGCGTATATGTACTGGCGTCTCTTGTCAACAGACATGAATGCAGCCAGGCAAATTGTCATGGGAGAGAAGCCAGCCATTACGGCTGAGTCGGAGAGACTAGACTCAGCGACACTGGAGGAGATGTGCCTGAATGTAGGAACACTAGCCACGGTCTATTTGAAGCCGGTGCAGACCGTTTTCAGATCTGCTCGACCACGCAAACTTCAAGACTCTCCGGCGTTGCAGAAGCAAAACCTCCTTGTTGCCGGAGACAGCCAGAAGAGTATCAGCATGTTTGGTAATGCTGGAGCAGCGACGGATATCGACCCAAGGAGCCGAAACCCAATGTCGGGTGATGGTCAGGGGAACCTCGCACAGGCCGTCAGCGACGCGGATGCCTACTTCTCGGGGATCGGGACGCAGCAGATGACGCCAATGCATGGTGATCAAGGGGATGATGTCTTTGGAGGAGGTAATGGCCACTCAACAGGATACGTGGTGAGCGCGCATGCTCCTCAAGCCGTTCTTCAACCAGCGCAAGGTGCTGGTAGCAACGGTGATTTGTTAGTGCTATAAGCGATATCTGTATATACTAGTAATGGGAAATATAGCTGAAGATAAGGCAGTTGTGAGTGACTTGAGCAGAGGCCGTTTTGTATGTATATTGGCTCATTTGGACGCACCCCAGTCGATGTAGCACTGAACTTGTCTGTTATTCATGTTTCCACATAATTCCATTTCAAGAGTATCCGCGGGGGGGTCCCCGGCGAACGGCGTAGGCTAAATTCGGTTTGGCTTGAGAACCTTAATTCAGATACCCAGCTGGGGCGAAGCACATTATGTAGGGTCATCGAGTTGGATGTATCTATTCAGACTGACCCAAAAGGTCACATTTGACCAGGGTGATTTAGGGCCAAGTCTCGGATACCAGGTCGAGCTAGATCCAGGCTTGGCTACTTGGTCTGGATGTGTCTGGTCTGTAAAAACAGTAGAGAGAAGACAGGGAAGAGACATGTGACTTTAGTGAGTGAGAAGCAAGAAGGATTTACAGTCGATACGGGAGCGAATCAAGTCCTCAAAGCTGCCCGGATAGTAGTCTATAGTTAGCCAGAGTGTGTTTTCATCTTGGTTGTTCCGATTGTCCACTTGATGAGCTGGCGAGTATTTACGCAAGTGAGCGAGTCGGATTTCTCATCCAATGCAGGTCATACCCAAGGCGGGCATCTCAACCGTTTCGAGTATCTTGCAGGCGTTTTTCTCACAAAGGGACTTTCGTTGACTTGAGGGACCTGCTTGAGTTTACAGATCTTGAGGATTCATGCAAGTCAAGGACCCTTACATGTGCTTATGAGCGTGCAAAGATCAAAGATACAGAGGTTTTGATCAAATTGTACATTGGTTGTCGGTTTCCCTATTGAATATGGCATTTCAAGTAAGCTCGGTGTAAGCATCAAGTTCGTAAGTGAGATTTAAGTGCGGTACCATGAACGAGTACTCGCCATTTCGAGGCATTCATCATGGGGATTTCAGAGGCGCTCACCGAAAATACCCTTCCAGAGATGTTCATCGAACAAAGTGCAGGTTCCATAATCTCTCCTTGGCTCAAAAGATGGGTGGTGAACTCAGTGGCGCCGCTTTCTGTGCAGGACACCTCTCCAGTGGCAGTCTGGGGCTAAGCAAGCGGCGCAGCAGCCGACTACAGTGGGCCGCAACCTTTTATTTTATTTTAGCGGCTTCGATCTATGGACTACCTGCCTGAGTAGGGACACGCTGTATCTAAGATCCATTGTTGTTACCTTCCGTTTTACCAGTTACCAGCCCGTGAGCTTATGGGACCGATACTGTCTGCCCTGCATTCGCCAAGTAGACTCTGATAGGTATCATGGACGACAAAATAGAGCAGTCATTTGGTGGCTGTGAGTAGGACTAACATCCTTAGCCCAGGTCCCAAGTTTTCTGCCACCTTAGCTCAGGTTGGATCTTACAGCAAGAGCGAACCTTTCTTGGCTTGAAGCATGCCTTTCCATTGATGGATATTGGTCAATTTAGCATAACATTTCTGTCATCTTGTCTGATTCATCTTTGTTATTGATCAATATTTAGTCCAATTCTTCTACTGCTCGACTCGTTCGTCCAATTCATTGATCGTGTGAGTGCCAAGCAGCCGACGGATCACGGCGAGTTGTGTTTGGTGTCGTCACCTCCCGCCTGGAACTTACCGTGTTCAGCTATCTTGGCTTTTTGCTTTCTCAGATTGAAGATTTCTCGTTGAGAAACACTCTCTAACGGTCTTCTCATCACTATCTTCATGTGCCTAGAAACTTGGCATTGTTGAATTGATCGGCAAAACTATCAGCAAGCGGCGCGGTACCTGTTACTTCCGACTCGCCCTGCCTTTCACTGTCTCTCATCATTGTCACTTTATTGTTTTCCCAGCCTGAACACCAAGGGAGCCGTCTGGTCCGGCCACTCCAGTTAAGCCAAGCGCCCCCTCTCTCCTCGTTCCCTGTAAGGCAAAGCGTTGGGCGACTCCAGGTTCCACGCTGCAGCCGCTGGTCAACAGGACGTCTTGGCTACTTCGATTTGCTTTGCTTTGCTTTGCTTTGCACTGCTTGCCTGTTCAATTCCTTGGTAGACAGTTTGCTTACCGTATGGCTTGCTTGGCTTACCTATGGTAGACGACTTGCTTACTGCTATTCAATCAACCCCAGCACCTTGCAGTGATTCATTACTGCAACGTCCCGCAACCTGCGCTGCCCCTGCTGTCGCGTTGTGCTTTATGTCTGAGCGTTTTATCTGAGTGGACACGACTCCGGCGGCCACTCACTGCCCCACCCCCGGTCTTGCGGTCCCCCGGCCTGGGCGATCCATCCATGCTGCCATCGTCCCAGTGAACTTGACGTCTTTCACTTTTACTCCCGATACCTAGCAACGCTACGGATACTGTTCACATTCATCCACATCGCTATCCACATCCGCATCTTTTATCCGCCATCCTCGAACTTCGATCGCGAACCTAACCCCCGAATCGCATTACCCGCCCAAGAATCACTCGCTTGCGTTTTATTTACCGTCGCGTTCTTGCATCCATTGCGTGGTGTGACCTCAAATCACATCCATAATCGCGCCTCTATCACCCTTCATCCAGTATGTCGGCTCCAGCGGACTCCACCATGAGCGGTGGTAACGCTGCGCCAGTTGAAACTTCGCGGCTCGAACAGCCTAACGATGCTGTAGCCATGGAAAGCATTACCAACCCGTCCGAGCAGAAGCCTGCCGATCGCGAGCGCGAGTCTGCCGATAAGACGAGCGCAGCTGAACCTGAGCCAACACCCTCGACCAACGTGCCAGCACCATCCGAGAACATCGATCAACCAACCACCGCAGCACCAGCTTCGCCAAAGGGCAAGGAAAAGGAGACAGCACCTCCACCACCGACTAAGCAAGACTCAAATTTGGGCATAGGACCCGCCGTAGATGATATTCGGGAGATCTCAGGGGGTTCTTCAGATGGGCCTGTTTGTACCATCACACTTCTCCTTACTTCAGGAAGCCGACATCCGTACAAGATTGATGCCAAATACTTGAGCCGGAGGAACGTGGATATTCCGGACCAGACAGAGAATGGCCTTCCGGACCCGTTTAGTATTAGCATTTACACCCTAAAGGAATTGATATTGAGAGAATGGAGGAGTGATTGGGAAGCCAAGCCTACCAGTCCTAGCAGCATCAGGCTGATTCACTTTGGAAAGCTATTAGACGACAAGGAGCAGCTGAAGAGTAAGGCACATCGTGAATCTGAGACATTATGTTCTTGCTGACCGCCAAACAGAGTACCAGCTTTCGACGGAGAGCCCCAACGTGGTGCACATGAGTATTCGGCCACAAGATCTTGACGAGGAGGAGCCTAAGAGTGGAAGCAAGAATCTTTCATCAAGTGGTGGCGATGGCCAACGTTCCCGAGGTGGAGGCTGCTGCGTCGTCTTGTAACGAGCAACAGTCTTTATCAGAAGAAACTCACTGCTACCTTGACCATCCCCTCCTGGTTGCTGTTGGTCGAAGAGAAAAGCAACCTCAGCCACTTTAAAACCTTCAAGTCGAGATGATAAGCAGCGGAACGTCGCCCGCACACTCTTTAATCAATTTCTTGGTCTATTCTTTTTGCAACCGCTCAGCAGAAGCGAAACAAGGTTCTGACGTGCGGAAGACGGGGTTAATGGAGTTTACATTGGCGTATTATCGTGTATTTGACATGTTTTTGTTATATTTGTTTTATTTATTTTCATTTCAATCGGCACGTTGCCGACAGCGTCCTCGATCAACGCATTTTTGGCAGTATAGAAAGCATTTTTGTTGCGGTATAAACAGAATCACAATTACTGGTTCTTTTTATGAGGGTATCTGTTGGTGATCTTTCACGTTCTTGGTCTTGTCTAAATGTAGGATACCGCGGATGTACAGAATGACAGCTGAAAGCTCCTCCATCGTGAAATAAACTGCACGTTTACTGAATCTTAAGCTTCTTCTCCATCTCGTCGTGGAATCCAGCCACGGCCCTTGTCTCATCGCCCTTAAAGACATCCTCCCAAGTAATGGTAGTGTCGCGGCCTCTAAGAATATCCTCATGAACGCTGGGCAGACCGCCGCCAAGGGCCATGGGCCGCCACTCGCCGTTCTGGACAATCTTGAGCTCCATGCCACGGCGGATGGGCTCGGCCATGCCATAGGTTCGTCGAAGAGTTTCCATCTTGAGAGACTCCTGAGTGGCCTCCCAGTTCTTCAGTCGGGCCTCGAGAGGGTGGGCAGAGGCGGGTGTGGACTTGGAGTCGAAGGGGGATGCGCCGACACCGTGGCGGAGAGTATCGTGGATGCCTGGGGCGGAGGGTGCGGAAGATGTGTGAGAGATGTGAGTGTATGACTGAACGTTGGAGTTGCCAGGGACGATGCGCATTGCTTGAGACTGAGGAGGGCAGAAGTTAGCTCTCATGGCATTGAAGGTGGATGGACAGACGGGTGTTGATGCGTACCATGTTGGCGGATGTGACTGTTGATTTGCGTGGGAGGCGGTTGTTTAGAGGAAATGGACGTCGCTAGAATAAAGTCTATGTATTATTCACCGTCGATTTCGGGGTGGAAATACGGGCGACGTTGATGGATGGCTTGTATCTTTGATGTGGTTGATGATGAAAGCTCCAGCTCCAGTTAAGGTCAAGGTCAAGGCAGCCTTGCGCTGGCGTTGCGTTGACTTCTGAACGGTACGTACCTTTTTCCGGGGAGACAGCTGCAGGTCCGCCGATGCTGAGACCCACGCAAATAGATACCGTCACTCACTTTAGTGATTCCGACTTCGCTTTCAAGACGGCATGTTTTATTTATCGTAAATTATGATTTATTCTTTACTCATAAATAACCAATCGACATTATGAGACCTCCTACAAGTTGTCCTCCGATCATTCGGATCGCCAATGGCACCTTCTATCGCCATCACCCAAACACTACTACTACAACACCATCACGGCCAAATCCACCTCTTTTTAGCGATTTGAGTTTCGAGCTGGCTTCTACATCAAACTTGCCTAGAAACTGGTGTATCGTTGGTCCATCACTATCAGGAAAGACAACACTCCTGCAGGCTTTGAAGGGAAGGTTCCTTTGTGAACCACCTATTGCAAGATCCTATCCATACCTCTCTTCCGAGAACGTTCCCAAGCGGTTACGCACGCCGCAAAAGGCGATCCAGTATGTGGGCTTTGATGCTGAACAAACTGGTGGTGGCTTAGGCGGCGGTGTTGCCACCAGTGCGTACTTGTCTGCGAGGTATGAGTCGAGACGTGAGATCACGGACTTTTCCCTCAGGGACTTTCTTCTAGGAAACACAGAGCTTAATCCTATGAAGACAGAACAAGGCGATGACGACGCTGCTATATCACCCGAACTACTGTCCCGAGTCGTCAGGGATTTGAAGCTGGAGAATCTTCTTGATCTACCTGTCTCATTCCTTAGCAATGGCCAAGGTCGAAGAGCACGTATTGCTCGTGCACTTCTAACAAAGCCGGAGGTTTTGTTACTCGACGAGCCTTTTATGGGACTGGATCCTCCTACAGTCTCTGGGTTAAGTCCTCTACTGCATTCGCTAGCTGAAAAGGCAAGCCCTCGTCTCGTTTTGAGCGCGAGGCCACAGGACCCTGTGCCTGACTGGATTACTCACTTGGTATATCTGAGAACAGACTGCCAAGTGGGCACAATGGGTCCCAAGGAAGAGGTCCTTAAGGGTCTGAAGAAATATGTACAGGGTGTTCGAAAAGGTGGTCTTGTTGAGGATGAGAAACTACCATTGCACTCGCTTGTCGATATTGGTCGTGTGCTACCCTCAGCTGCTTCTACGGGAGGTTCAGATCATACAGAGCAATCATCATTCAACGAGCTGGAACCAAGGAACTCCAATGCTGAACCCCTCGTTGAGATGGACGGCTGCAAGGTTCAGTACCGTGGGAAGGTCGCGCTGGGTAACTGGACGCAGAAAACCACTGATGGTTCTAAAGATGGCTTGATTTGGACGGTTCGGCGTGGCGAGCGGTGGGGTGTTTTCGGTCCCAATGGATCAGGCAAAACGACGATAGTTTCGCTGCTTTGCTCTGATCACCCTCAATCTTATTCCCTTCCCATCAAGTTATTCGGACGATCTCGTCTTCCAGAACCTGGCTCTGGTCAACGGCCGCTCACATTCTGGGATATACAATCACGAATCGGACACTCTAGCCCCGAAGTTCATCAGCATATGCCTCGAAACCTGACTGTACGCCAGACTATCGAGAACGCATGGTCAGAGACGTTCCGCGCCAAGCCGAAGTTGGACGATACTGCTAAGGAAAGGGTTGAAGCAGCTCTCCAGTGGTTTGCGCCTGAGCTACATCCCGCTTATTCTTCAGCGTCGCACGAGAACCTCTCCTGGGCGGATGACTACATGTTTGGTGGTCTCTCGTTTAGCGCACAGCGTATTGCGCTTTTTATCCGCTCCATGATCAAGTGTCCAGATGTCGTAGTTCTCGATGAAGCTTTCAGTGGCATGGACGATGCGGTACGGGACAAGTGCACATTATTCCTCGAGCAAGGCGAAGCCAAGACATACCGCGGCGAAGAGATCGTTGAGAGTGAGGCATCAAAGTCTGGCCAGGTTAAGATCCCAGGTCTTTCTCATCAGCAAGCACTGATCTGCATCGCGCATGTTAAGGAGGAAGTGCCGGATTGTGTGAGGGAGTGGCTGTGTCTCCCTGAGGCTAATACAGGAAGTGCAGCGAGGTTTGGACGATTAGATGGCCCATTAAGAACTGACGAGAAGAGATGGCATAAGGTATGGGGGTTCTAAACCAATTGTCTACTGTAAACCATTGCACAAATGAAGCACATCATGGTGTTAAAGATGATTCCTGTTATGGGACACTTTATTAGGAAGAAAACGACAACTTGCGAATACCAGGAATGAGGTAAACATATTCTATAAACAATATTGAGACACTAATTTGTTGAAGTTTTGATAGAGAATATATACACCTTGTCTTGGTTATCGTTATTGATATATGGTCTAGGGTGGCCCCGGCAATCGGTTTTATTGCACCATCATCCGCCCGACATCCCCGAAATCTTGGAATCAACCAACCAGACTGACACTATACGACCATCACATGCTCACATTATCTAGCATACGGATACCTCAGCTATTCGCACTGGACTCTCAGTTTATTGACTTGGTTCCTCAAATCTTAGAAAATGACTTCTCGGGACGCGAACATCGACGGTGAAGACCTCACTGTACACGCATGCTGCGCGCCCATCCAGAACCTGGCTCGACCTATTGATTTCAGTGAACTAGAGTACGTGACACCGGAATGTTTGCCTTACACAGGATCCGGACCAGTCTCATATGATATCTGCAGTGACGAAGACGAGCGACCTTTCTTTCACTGGCCCATCTTTGGCCCGCTGTTGGTTGAGAACGAAAGCAGTGATGCGCGTGACCATTGCGCCAACGAGAGAAGTACGCACATAGATTTGCACTCCATCACTGGCAATGATTGTCTTACGGATATTTGGTGTAGCGTTTCTCTCGTATCTTCGCCTGTCGGTTTATATGGCTATCGTATCGGTAGCCATCACGTTGTCTTTCCATCTCAAGAATGAGGCTTCACCATTAGAACTACGCATGGCGAAGCCGCTCGGCACGATATTCTGGGCTCTTTCCGTCATGACCCTCGTTGCGGGAATGGCAAACTATATAAGTAGGTGCTCAATCAAAAAGCATGTACTCGGTTGTTAATGGTTTGGTAGGAACGGTCAACAAGTACAGCAAACGAGCTGCCATTGTACAAATTGGTTGGAAGACACATGCAGTAAGTTCTCTGTCGTACACCAAGAATTCAAGCAGTCATTTGCTAAACTGACACGTCTAGGTATTCAGTCTCACAGCAGTATCCATCATAGGAACATGTATTATCCTGCTGGTTATCGCCAAGGTCCGGGACTCATCATCCAACTCTTAACATGAACGTATTTTTTTTTTTAACTGAGAAGATTCACACGCTGTACCTAGACATAATTCATACCCGGAATAGCGCCTGGCCTTCCAACCTTCCAACACCAATTATACAAAACTTGATACTAAATTGTGAAAAATGAAAGCCGTCCGATATTCGGACTAGGCTGCTAAATCGTGTTCCGCTATGCTGTCTCCTCAGTCTCCTTGACTTCTGGAGCTGTACCTGCGCTGCCTAAGTCTTTGCTCCTGCAAAAGAGATCGCTAGCGTCTGGGTTACGCTGTGGTCGTCCGAACTCATCCTCGTCACTTATAAGAGAGGGCGGACATTCGCCAATCTCTTGGCGGAACAGTTTTGTAAGCTCTGATGAGCTGATTTCTAGTTCTTCAAGCGAGGTGGGCTTTCCACTCCACGAGATCAGTGGCAAATCGCCCAGTGATAGCAGGTCGCCCTCACGAGGTAATGTTGCTAGCATGTCAACAGGAGAAGCAGGGTCGAATCTGGATGTTGCTTCGTCCGCCTCCCCGCCCTCCTTGTTTTCAGTTTCCTCACCTAAATACTCCTCAGGCCTATTGGGCAAGTCACTATGTGTACCCAATATCGTTGCTGCTGTTTCTGGTCTTGGATAGAGTGTCACGTATCCTCGAAGCTGTGATAGTTGGAGAACATACTCCAGCCACGCCGGATGCTTCTTGCTTGTGTTCTTCTTAGCTAGGAAAGCCGGAGTGTCTGTTCTTGTTTGTTGTTTTTCCAGTAAGCGCGAAACGTAGCCATGAAGCTCAACCCACTTATCACCCATGAATATAACTGCATCACTAGTAGGAGCCTGCCAGAAAAATGGGCTGGCACCATCTTTCTCGCCCTTCGCATCAACCACAGGAACAGTCAGAGGAGTTGTGTCATCGAGGAGTGTTTTGGGGGACTGAAAACTAATGCCCATGATATTCTCGTTCCAGTCTTGAAGAATTGAAGAATGAGAATACAGGCTATGCAACAGGTTGTACTTGACATCTGGAAGGGTCAGTATTGCCGAGACAGAGTATTCGATGTAACACTTACAGTTGAAGAACTGAGGTGAAACCTCGGCGTGAGGCGCTAAGACAAGAACATGGTTTTGCAAAGGTTTGCTTGGCCAAAATGACTCGAGAAATCGAACCGAGCTCTCCTCTTCGTCCATCTTGCGTGAGGAAATTCGGTGGCGGAGCGAGAGCATTTGCGATTGCGGCAACTCGCCGGAAGCTTTGGAAGGCCATTGGAAGCCAGATAAGAAACCCGCCAGAGGTTTCTCTACGACAGGCGGTAGTTCGATTGTAAGCTGAGGTATTGTTATAGCGCTCTTGTCGGCTCTACGCAGAGAGGTGAGGAGTCTTTGCAGATTGGCAGTACCAACGGGAGGTGCCTGAACCAAGATGTCAAAATGGACCTTGTTCCAAGCTGATATCATGGAGTAAGTACATAGTCTGAGGGAAACAGGGAATAACTAACCGGACAATGCTAGGGCGTCGAGCTTTGAAATCCACGCAAGACGAGTTTCAGGCCTGTCTGGCAATTCTATAAGCGCAGACTTCGTTCCAGGGATCTGATCGCGTGCCGCTTTGAGAAAGTAATCGTCTTCGGCGAAAGTGGAGTCGACGATGATTGCTTGAGGGTGCATAAAATTGTTGATATAGTCTAGAAGTTTTGTCGTTAGACAAATGCGCAACTCTGAAGCCACACGGGTCGGGTCTTACAGAATGCACGGAGAGCAGCGAGTTTCAGTCTCATCTCAGAAGATGTAGAGGCATAGTCGGTGCGGGCATCTATGAAGACACTTAGTAAACAAGGTGGTCAGGGTTTGAATGACTCTTCCTACCATGCGTATATATCTTGCAGCTTTCATCTATCCCGTTTATTTGGAGAAGTTCCTTGATTGATATCTCGTTCCTACCCATAAGCGCAAAATGAACATAGTTCTTGTCTTGCGATGCCATGTTGCAAGCCATTGGCAGGAGGGCATTGGCGCTGTTGATACTCGAAGCAGTGAAGAGAATATTCTTATTTCGTTCGTAACTTCCTCCCGTTCCCTGAATACTGCGCAGCGTCTCTGCGAGCTCGGGGAACTTGAGGGGCCCTTGGTAATAGACCCGATCCTGCTTGTGACCCGACTGCGCAGAGCGCTCTGATGTCCCATTGGCCGAACCGCTGGAAGGCGATGATAGCAGGTTATAGGCTATGAAGAAGAGGATCGAGATGAAGACGAGGTACGAAACAAGGCGACCGACGGAGCTGCGACGAGGAGCGCGGGGAGTTGCTTGCCAATGGCCACCGGCCCTGGACTGGTAGTGATGGCCGGGGGCACCGAAGTCGTCGTCTTTCTTATTAGCCATTTCCTCGTCGCCTGCCCAGAAGCGCGCCTTTGTTCTGCCTCGCGCAGGCGTCATTGTCGTCGATATTGAAGCTGAAGGCTGGGTAGAGAGGAACTAGGAAGAGCTCATGGAAGCTATTGTAGCTTGTCGGCGCGGCGAGAAGTCAACTACCTGACGAGGGACAGGTATGATATGATTGTGAACATGCGGAGGAACCAATCGCAGTGGGCGATCGAGGTATGTTAAAAAGAGAAGCAGTTTCAATGGTTTTGTGGTTATTGAAGAATGGAGATGTAGGTAAGATGACGGAAGTGACGCTGACCCTTGTCTGTACCTTAGACCAGCATGGCTCGTGCTTGCCCGGGCCGTAAAGTCTGTAACTCCTCTTACACAGTGGTTGGTTGGTACGAGCTTCAGTGAGTTTCAGGTATTGACAGTATTAAGTACAGTGGATGCAGCTACAAAGCTGATACTTAACTATTAAGGTACTAGGATACTAAACAATGGACTATAATCATTTTGGGAGACAATCAATTATTTCATAGCAATACTCAAGAGCATATACCATCTGTTGTGACTCTCATGGCCAATCTTGAAGGTGGCAGCTGTTGAATACAAGGTACCACCCACCATATACGTCCATTGCTTCGGACAAGAAATCAACTCGATAACAACTAGTAACCCTGAATGGCTTGAGAATCTATTATAGTCACCGCAATTCTATGAGCATTCGATATGCACATATAACCAGTAAATATCCTCAGACTAAGACATTGCATGTGGTTGTTAAGTTTAAATAATCCTTGTCAATTAACTCGGGACATTTCATATCAAGGTGGGGCACGAGCCGCCGTCGCAAAATATTCATGTAAATTTTTAGCTGCCTTTGAAATTCGAGGTCCATCATAAACTCTACTCCCATCAAACTTAGACATAACATAACAATCTTCTCTTCATATAACAAAAAACAAATCTCCAAATAATCAGAAATGGCCAAATCTCGCAGAAATAGAGGCCACGCAGCCCGCAAAGACCCCATCTCAAAACCTATCAAGCCTCCTTCGGACCCAGAACTCGCAGCCCTGCGAGAGACAAAGATTCTTCCCGTCATCAACGACCTCAAGAGTGCTGACCCCAAGTCGCGCTCTGCTGCTGCCTCGGCCATCTCAAACATTATCCAGGATGAGAAGTGTCGCAAGTTGCTCTTGCGAGAGCAGATCGTGCACACCATCACCACCCAGACTCTTACTGATGCTGCGCTCGACAGCCGTGCTGCTGGTTGGGGCATCCTGAGGGTTCTTGCCCAGGAGGAGGAGCCTGATTTCTGTATTCATCTCTACCGTCTTGATATTCTCACTGCCATTGAATTTGCTACCAAGTCAGTATGTAGCGTTGCGCCCCAAGCATCAAAGTACAGAAACTGACATCGCAGCAGATCACAGAGATTCTATTGTCCAAGGATCTGGAATTCCAAAAACGTTCAAAGTCTGAACAATCTACGATTCTAAGCATCGTCTCGTCTCTCATCTCCCTTCTCACTGCCCTCGCCGAGGCTCAGGATGAGATCCTTGAGGCCATCTCTCGTAACGCTACCATCACCCGCCTTATGCTCCTTCTTACTTCGGACGAGCTTGCCAGCAACCCTGACATTGTCTCGTTGAGAAGTGATGCTCTTGCTTGCCTCATGATTCTTTGCGAGGATAACGAGCAGCTCTCTGACAAGGTTATCCACACAAAGGAGCACCGAACTTATGGCACTCTGCTGTCACTGCGTAAAACAGCCAATGGCGACGGTGTCCTCGCCTGTGGTGTTCTTCACAACCTTTTTGCCTCTCTCGAGGATCAGGATATCGCCCTCGGTGCTGACAACTCCCTTCTTATTCCCACCCTCTCACAAGCTCTCAAGGCTTATGAGCCAGGTCAAAAGTCCGACGCCGTGGGATGGGCCAACCCTTTCGAGTACCAACAGCTCGCCCTCGAAATTCTCGCGTCCATCGGAACAACACTCAACACAGCAGCTGAGGCCGAGCCCCAGACAGAAGACAAGCCCGAGGCCAAGGATGATGAGGAGATGGCCGATGCTGACGAAGAAATCTCCGACGGCGAGGAAGATGGAGGTGACGAGGACGAGGAGGAGATGGACGACGATGAGCTTGAGGCTGATATGGAGTTGGTCACTGGCGCCGATAGAAATGAGGAGGACAGCAACATCGATGACCTTCCCATTCTCAAGACTCTCATCGACAACGCCCTCCCCGAACTCATCCGCATAGCCTCTCTCTCCCCCGTTGACGATGCCTCAGTTCGTCTGCAAAGCCACGCTCTGTCTGCCCTCAACAACATCGCTTGGTCAGTCTCTCTCATCGACTTCTCTGACGCCCACAACGCCCCTATCCAAAACGCCTGGGATCCCGTAGGTCGTGCTCTCTGGGCCCAGGTCATCGCCCCTATCTTGGCCACTGATACGGCCGATCTTGACCTTGCAACCCACGTTACCAGCCTTGCCTGGGGCGTCGCACGCTCTCTTCGAGGTCGACCCAACACACCCTTTACCGAGGAGCACCGCCGCTTCATCGCTCTATACCAAGCCACAAAGGGCTCGCCCGCCGCACAGAATTTGGAGGATCCCTTCCAATCTCTCAGCGTCAAGTGCATTGGTGTCCTCGGACAACTCGCTCTCGAGCCCGCGCCCGTTGGCCGAAACCGCGACATTGGTATTTTCTTGATCACTCTCCTCGCTGGTCTGCCTGAAACACCTACTGCTGATGCAGTCGAAGCTCTCAACCAGATTTTCGACATTTACGCCGATGAGAGCTACTCTTACGAGAAGGAAGTTTTCTGGAAGAACGACTTCTTGAAGCACCTAGACGATGCCCTTCCCAAGGTGCGCTCCATGGTAAAGGCCATCGACAAGCGTGCCGGCAGTGAGTTACGCTTGCGTGCTGATGAGGCCGTGTTGAACTTGAATCGTTTCTTGACTTATAAGCAAAAGAACAAGCCAGAGGCGTAAGTGATTAAATAAAAGCAATTGATTTCTTGATTTCTAAAAACTCCGGTATTGTACCTTTGTTGTGTCCCGCCAAGTGATTCACCAAATGTGAGCTTCCCAAGCTGTTCTTGTGCTGGATGACTTACAACGCCATTGTATCGAACCCAGCACCTAGCACCAGCTCCCATATAACGGTCAGTTCAAGATGTCAACGATCAACCCATGATAATAATCGCCGGCGCTTATGTCTGGAGCATCTCCCTGTCCTTCTAACACCGTTCAAAAACCCGGTAGAGGCCCTTTAAGTTTGCGACTTCGAGCACTGCATCTTCCATCAGTGATTTGGTTGCCACCAATCTCGCCTTGAACGCCGGAAAGAACACATGCTCAACAGCATGTCTTACGTGCTGGCGGCGGGCGCGCATCTCGGTTGAGATAATTTCTTCCCGGAGGCTTTCCGCATCGCCGGGCAAAGTTGGCAATTTCTCTGGAACGTAAAAAGTAGCTATTTCTCGCAGAAATGAATCAAAGCAAGCTTGCTCTTCTGTCCAGTCAACACTAGGGCCAAGGCGGAGGAGGAAGCGAGGAAGCTTGACAAGAGGCGGCGTATATCCTTTGATGAGCAGTGGCAACGAAATAAGCTCACCGGCAGGCGATATCTCAAGAGAAAAGTATTCGAGAAGCATCTCGCGACGCTCAATGAGCTGATCGGCCACGCGATCTGCCAAAGCCTCGATGTCAAAATCCTCATCGGGTGATGTGATTAGGCTCTTTTCAACTTCAGCTGCCGTCCGGAGCAGTTCACGGAGGTCCAGTGCAGGAGCGAACTTAATAGTTCCAAAATTGGCAAACTCTGTGAGCCCCAATTGGTAGAAATACTCGTAGCAAGTTCGGCCATAATCAATCAGGTACAGTTTGACACCCCCCTGGATTGCTGCCAACCGGCGTTGCTCGTCCACAACGCCGACAAAAGTATGGTTGGCGAAAATTTCGGTAAGTTCGAGGTGTATATCTTCCCGCACCTCTTCTCTCAAGTGCTTCACACTGTTCAGCCGACATTGGACGAGTTCGCGATCTACTGTCTCATACTCGAGAGGTTCATGGACAGCGATTGAATCACCTGCACGAGCCATAGATCCTGTTGATTCGCTCGGACCAGCTCGAGAAAACATTGATGTAATCTTCCGCTCAGTTGTATCTGTCCTTACCAAGTCGTTGGAGTATCTTCGCTTCTTTGACGCTGGGGTTCTTCGGTTAGGTGTACCGTCACTCTCTGTCTGAGGTGTGGATTCAGTCGTTTTCGCGCCGGGAAGAAGTGTCTGTGTCATGAATGTACGGCTCGTGTCAACTGCGGTGAGCTTAGACTCAATTGCGGCGCATATTGACTGGATGATCTCGTCCTCATTGAGGAAATGGACTTCTCTCTTTGTCGGGTGAACGTTGACATCTACTCGAGCTGGGTCAATCTCAAGACTTAGGTATATGAAAGGGTGGCCGTTCTTGGGTAAGAAGCTGGCATAAATTTGCTCAACTGCTTTCTTAATGTGAGTTGACTCGACACAACGATGGTTGATGAAGAGCAGAATTGTTGTCTTCTTGACAGAGTAGTTTGCATTGGTCGTATAACCCTCAGCTCTGAAACCCCAACGAGCCTCGGAAACCGAAAACTCCAAAAGTTCGTTCGCTACGGCACTACCGTGTATTTGACGAATGCGGTCAATGACAGTAGCATGGGCCTGGATTGACAGGTTTATCGAGGCTTCGCCTGCCTTTTTGCAAGTGAAACCAACACCCTTGCAGTGCACAGCGTACCGGCCAACCATGTCTATGATCTTGTTGAATTCTTCAGAGGGCGAGCGGAAGGCCCTCCTCCGTGTCATTATGTTGAAAAAAAGATCTTCTACTGTGATTTGCGTTCCTGGACGACCCGCGACACCTTTGGGCTCTGCTGATTGACCAGGCTTTGCTGGTGCAAGCTTGCCTTCGTGGTAGTGCGCCCTCCATGCAAGATCTGAGTCCTTTGTCTTGGTGGTAACAGAGAGGTGGGCGATGTGACTGATACTGGCGAGAGCCTCGCCGCGGAAGCCATATGTCTCAATGGCAGACAAATCCTCAAAGGTGGTGATTTTGGAAGTCGTGTGACGTTCACAAAGGATGGCCAAGTCATCTTTCTATCATGAAAGTCAGCCTCACGGTGATGATTATGGGGGCGAAGCCTACTAACCTGAATACCACACCCATTGTCTGTTATCTGTAACAGCTTCAGCCCGCCCTCCTTGGCCAGGACATCCAGAGAGGTAGCACCGGCATCGACGGCATTCTCAATAAGCTCCTTGAGCGCATGGACAGGAGCAACTATGATTTCACCGGCAGCGATTTTGTTGACAACGTTTGGATCGAGCGCCTGTTCATGTCAGTGGCTGTGCCTGGGCGCATGCGTGAGGCGTTGGCGAGAAACAACCTCGAGTTCGTCCACCCACCTTGATTCTGCGAGGCGCACCAGCTCCTTCGGACAGGCTCTCGGCCTTTCTTTTTGTACCACTTGGTACGACGTTATGAACCTCATCGGCGCTTGGGACACCTCCCATGTCCACATCTGCGTCTGTTGCCATTGTTTGTGGCCTGTAGCAGTTAAACCACAACGTCCGGGCGCGTGAATAAGCCTATGACGTGGCTTCTAAAAATTTGGACTTCAAAATATTTTTTATAAGTGAAAAAAAAGTTGGTGACACAGTTTTTGAGGTCATGCGGGAGGAAGTAGATTCCTCTTCTCTCATGTCGGATGTCTTATGTGTTTAGTCCCATCTCTGACTTGTCCGGGCCGCACAAAAACCGACAGTGATCAACAACGATGTACGACTGATGGTTCTTCAGTCTGATACGCTGAGGAGGCGATGAAGAAGGTTCATGTGGGACAAGGACAGGCAACCGAGAGATGGGTTGATGTGTTTGAGGGCCTCATTGATGTGCAAACTGCAGGACATGGACGCGAGGGCACGTGACTGCGTACAATATCTTGCACCTTCCTCATCATCCAACTCGACAGTTGCCTTAGTAGGTACGCTTCAATTGTACTTTTTACATGTTATGCTGGTAACTTCCAATCAATTAAAACCCACATTCACCGACGTTATCTGCATGTGTGAGTAGTCCGGAAAGCTGGCAGGGATTTGGTTCGCCTCTTAAAAACGACAGCTGGAGAAGGCAGTGTTACTAGACGACTAGACAAAAGGGTACCTCAGGGTATCAGAAAAATTAACCGCTGAAAGCATAAGAAACGAAATTAGTAGGTCACTTTATGCTCCTTAGACTATGGTTCTTAGACTACTTATTTTTATACCCTAAAGCTTAGGAGGCTATTTTTTCTGCTACTTACTAGGGGTATTCGTGGTAGCATCTATTGCTGGAGGCGCCTTAGGCTATGACTCAATTCAGTTCCCAGCCATTGTGAATGCACTCGCTGTTATAGAAACATGACATGTCATAAGAGAAGCGTTGATATTATTCTCGTTAACAAGTGTTGTGTCAGCATTGTGACTGGCCGTGCACAAGGCGAAGACCTTGTGAGTCTCGTCAGCATTTGGTATTGGATACTGAAGTCAACCTAAAGGCAAGCCAGGGGTAGGAAGTGAATAACCATAAATTGATGGTTATTGAGCCCAAAGCTTTGTTATTGTGTCATCTCTTGTCTCGCGCTGTATGTTGTTTGTGAATCACAGTATAGTGATGTAGTGGAGAAGTGCTGCGCCATGCTTGGACATGATGCACCAATTCTCCTTGTGAGGCTTGCCTGCTGGGCGCCCTTTAAAAACACTGCCTCATTAGGCCAGAAGTTGATAGCATTAAACTGCCCTCTTGCCGATTGATAAATCCATTTCATGATGGTTCATACACAATTCTTTCTTCAAGTTTCTTTGCTCTGCCTCTGCCTAGAGCGCCACCCGAGCCAAGCCTCGTTCCTAGCTCAGACAATCATGGATCCATGGATGCTTCCATGAATTGTTCTTTACCAATGGATTGACTTGACTAACCGGGCAAACAAAACGTACGAACGTCACCACCTCAGCGTGTGTTGGCGTTCCCATGTGGAATTGAAACAAAGGTCAATAAAATACGAGGAATTGATTATCGATTACGCGTATTCTATCCTAATCCAGCTTCTCATTACTTCAGTATCGATGGCTGCCCTGCTGCCTTATGCTAGCCTGCCCAGTTAGCTACCTATCGAGTCACGCCCGTGAGAAGAGACGAGGAAACTAAACTGTACAAGTTGTCTCGTCACGTCTCATTTGACACGAGACCAACTTAGGAATTCGCCACCTCTGTCTGTGCACTTGCATCCTGACAGCCAAGGCCATATCATCGTGAAAACATGCACATTTCCCCAGTCTTTATATCTGTACTGCAGCATACCTAATCAATGCAGGAACAGGTGAATCGCAAATGCGCTGAATAAGTGGTGTCTCAAATTCTAGGAAGCCTAAGCAAGCCTTGCCGTAGCGACCATGTAAGCCTTGGGCCCTAATAGGCTGCCACGGGCAAGTTGATCGGAGTGCACTTTGTAAATTGCAGACTTCAGATCATAAGGCGCACTGTAACCAGAATGACCAAACGCATTAGCGTACTTCCAGTTTCTCTTTGCTCAAATTGAGTAATTGCGAAAAGATGAGATTGAAAATAGGTAACCAGAGTGGATTACCCATAGCGAAGAAAGCGTTAGGCAAGAAGGGTCGCCCAGGCCAGGTGGTTCGCATGCTTTGACTACCTGAATGTATAAAGATTTATCATTCCATCCAAACTCTGTTCTCATCCCCATCTCAACCTACAACTGCTGGCCTTTGGTTGATCGACATTAACCTTGCAGAACAACCACTACCTGCATATCCTACCTACCTTGACCGACTACTCTGTCAATCTTTCCTCAACATGGCAGCATCCAATCACTCAAGCGCTTCAAACAAGTAGGTTCTTCTCATGGCCCCCCTCTAATTATCTGTTAGTTGTTTTATTGACTCTCTCATCTCAGGTGTACCTGGGGTTCCTCAGGGACCCGGGCCCTCTCCCCACGTCCCGACCCCACCGGCGCCGGAGATCATGACACTAACGCTCTGAACGGCTTGCACCACGCCAAGTATCCTCCTCCCAACACCAACGATTTGGGTAACGAACTGGATAATATTTACGACGAGTCGGAGAAGCTCCCAGCTCAAATGCAGCACGGATTGCCCGATCAGGAACAGACCAAGAAATAACAAGTCACATCAACAAATCAAACTGGATAAAAAGGCAGATTGGGCCGTCTAAGCCAAAAGAGAGAATCTGGTTGCGTCAATGCAAAAAAACAAGACAGACAAGACAAGATCGTGCGTCGCAAGACCGGTTTTTCGGATAACATCACTTCACTTGGTTTATTTATTGAGGTTTTTATCTTTTATTTTAGTTGCTGCTTTTGATGTTTTGCTTCAGGTATTAGTTTATTTGTTTCTATCTGTATAAATCACGGGGATGGGTGTTAGTTAAAGATTGGGAACCAGACAAATTGCTTCAAATAGATCAACTCATTTTAAACGCAGCTATGCAGATGCATTAACTGTAGATCATATTACCTTTCTTGATATGATAGTACCTAATACTATTGATTCTGATGTCATATCAGGATAGACAATTGTAACCGTGGAAGAAGCACCGCCGCCACAGCCACATGGACACTTACACATCCATCACCATCGGGGGGTCGGGGCTCACATCCGCCTGTCTAGATTGAGATTTTGTCACACCCCTTCCCATATACCTATGCACATCTTTAGCCCTTTCCTTTTCCTGCAGACGTTCTAGAGGGGCGGGCGTTATGAAGATCAAACGGCTCGGAGAATTAAGAACACCTAATGGATGTACTCTGGACGAACGGGAACCTTGATCATCTCTTCAAACCACACGCCCCCAAGGATCCCCCCGCAAAACTCGGTACATTCACATACCCAGTACAGGTACCGTAGTAGGGCAGCATAAACATGAACGGACCATATTTGGATATTTTGTCAATCACCACGTCATTCTATTGGATTATCCTCTGTCCAATGTTGCATGCTCCTAGCACTGTTCCCAGTCCTTATTGGCCCTGAAAATCCCTACCCGTTCCTGTCTTCCTTCAGTGGCGCATTGTTTGTATGGTAAATGTGCACTGTCATACCCATCTTTTCAAGATGGATGCTTGCGCCCCTGTGTCACCAACACGTGGGATTACGCATCTCGTTGTCCCGCAATACATCTCTTGAATCATTGTTTGCGGCTCAACCTGGCTCGTGATTTCTTTCTTCTACTCTGTCACCTCTACCTCGCGCTATTTGACCTCTACCATGTTCATATTACAGCACTTTGCGCGTCAACCCTCCACAAAACTCAGGATATCATCCAATATACCAATTCCTTTGATTTAGGTAATAAATCCCCAATCGTACAAAGCTGTCCAACAAATCCGGCTCAACTGCTTCATTGTTCTTGGCGGTGCAAATCTGCAGTCGTCCTGATCCCATCACTCTAACGCCCTCGGCTGCAAATGCCCCGTATGCTTCCATCAACACCATCTACCCATCTCAACCGGGCTGTCTGACCCGCATAAGTATAGAAACGTCTAAGGCACAATCGTAATAATAGGAACAAGGTACACGCTATGTCTGCATGAACGCGAGATCCCCTCACATCAAGATCGAATTAACAAAAATCAAACAATGAGCCATGCAAGGGTGCCGCGAGGGCCTTGCTTGTTCAGAAGTCCAGACCTTCGTCCCTGTTAGACCGCAGGGCAACGAACAACGGCACTATCGCGGTTGAGCTGGGCTTTCAGGCTTATCGATCAAGCCGCCAATATCAACCCGTGTCGGCCGGTCCTCGTGCGGCCACTTCTGATCCCCAGTATGCCGTGATCCAGACTGTTCTGGTTGGGCACGTATCGGCGGAAGTTGGAACGTTGCTTGAGGACGATATGCACTCGAAGGGGGGAGCTCGCTCCGCGGGACGTTATATGACTGGGGAGGTCCATATTCTGCACGGCCCGGTGACGCGGCGTACGATGCTGCGCTAGCCCCCACAGAGATTCCATGGTTTGCACTTGTAGGTAACTGAGTCGACGGGCCTATAGCTGGACGGGATACCAGTGGCACTTCGTTGAACGGGCCTCTCGTCATGTCGAAAGGGGTGACAGGCGGCGCTGGTGTTCTGTACACAGACTGTGGGGTGGGAGGTTGGGAGATGTACGAGTGCGCCGCTTCCCTTGCGGCAGGCGAAGATGGCAAAGGATAGGCATGCCGGAATGGCACACTGAGAACCATGACTATAAAGTAGATCGTGCCCTCCTTCGCAAGTCCAAGTCGGATGGGGTATTGTCTGGGTTGTCCGTCGGCAGCTCTAAAAGTCAGGTATTCGTGTCGGTCAAGCTGAAATCGTCCAATCTCGTCCGCACCGAAGCCAAGTCCCTGAAGAATACGATCAAGCCGGCCTAGGATTGGCGGTAAATAGTTCGGCTCCTTTCGTGTTTGTTCCTCGATCAGTTGACTCCGAATCGACGCCACCTTCTCCCTCTCTGTCAGTACAACCACATCGACCAAGTTCTGTCCCTGAAGCTCTGCTTGGCCAACAGCTTCCATAAAGGCAGGTGATGCCTTTGCAAAGTCCATCTTCATATTCAAAAACGCAACTGGATCAGCGCCTCGAGGGCCACTCGGTAGGGGTGGCGGGTAAGCGGAGGCTTCCATATTATGTGTTCTCTCGGAATACCGTTGGTTCATGTGCTCTCTGATTTCAAGCTGTCAGCGCATACTCAGGGGTCAGCGATGTGTATGATTCGCCTTACCCAGGTCCCATTGGAGCCCCTGACGGGTATATACTGAGTGGCCGTCTCACTGCAGCGTCTTGTGGGTGCGGGAATCTTGAGGGATCATAGCGAGTTTCCCGATCGTCTCTCAACCGTGGCCGTCCCCTTTTCTTATGCTGGACATCGATACATGCGTCTTCCTTCCCATTGGTAATACATCTCGAACAGGGCCGTTGCGCTACGCTCAGAGGTTAGCATCAAGTCAGATTCGACAAGAAAACGCATGAACAGAAGTTTTCTGTTGTCATCTAATCCTTGTCACCGGGGGGGCCTTGGAAACACCATGGCAATTTCCCAAGTGCAGTAGACGCCATGTCCTGGAATAACATGCGGATAAAGGAACGGTTTCGAAAACATACCATCACAGCTAGTGGCATGTTAGCAAATCCCGTTCGTGGGTAACTACGGAAGATCTCTCACCGAAGATGCGCTCGTTTACAGGGGACACAGGCAGAAGCGACATGTCCCTTAGTTTTCCTTTGCGACTTTGGGGAAGTCATTGGCTGGTTATCGATGATTGAAGGCCGAGCCGAAGAAGCAAAGGGCGAAGACACCCCGGGAACTGTAGGTGGAATATAACCTGCTTGCTGGGACATGGGCGGTGCCCCGGACTGGATGTACGAAACATGTCGAGATGCGGGATCGTCTGGTCTTCGATAAGGAAATGGCGAGTGATCCGGAGGTCCTTGTTGAAACAACCTTGGCAAAGTAGATTGCATACTGGGTGGTCCTCGATTATCAGTTGGCTGCTGTTGACTTAAGCTGCTCCAATAAGTATCCGGTTGGTTAGGGGCTGGGTATCCCACCGGCGGCTGCCTGCGATCGCCGCTGTCCTGAGGCTGTCTCGGGGGAAGGGGAGGAGATCCTGACATAGGCGGAGAGGGATATGCTCGATACCGAGCAATGGTGTTGTTTTTTGCGCTCTCGGAAGCCCACGTCAGGTCTAAGGCGATCTGCGCCAGGTCTGAGATTCCGCGGCGTTGGCCTAGGGGGACGGAGGTTGTTTCGAGGAATGGCCCCTTGGTGAGCATGGAGACAGAATTGCTACACTATCAGTTGGCTGGACAAAGAGACACTCCAACCGTTATTCAGCAACAAAAGACGACCTTTTTTTCTTGGCTGAATTTGGCAATGTTGTTATGCTGCAGATAAGGCATATATGGGTTAGAGATGGGCTGAGCTGAGTTCTTGCCAATAAACCACCTGTCAAGTACCACCACCAGGGGTCAAGATACAGCTTCCTTGGGTCGAGATATGCTCGTTAATTTGCCAATTTGTTACCAGCCGAGAGTTATCGAGTTGGGGGCCGCGAAGCTGTTGAAGTTGATCAGGGAGGAGAGACTGCCCCGCTTCGAAGATCTGCAAAGCTGATGTGGCAGGAAAGCAAAAGAAATCGAGCAAGCAGGATACGAATTTTGTTGTGATGGAACAATATCGTAGAAGTAGTAGCGAGTCAAGGTCCAGAAGTCGACAAGCGAGTGTGAGGGCGAGGAGGCGTGAGACGAGATGCTGCACCGTGATACTACGATATGGGATCTTGGAGAAGTCTTGGTGATACAGCATGAAGCCGTGCAGTTGGGAGGTCGAGACGGAGGCGGCCAACCGCAGAGTTCCAGGACCGGAACCTGAGAGGCGGAACCGGGCGAGACAGGGCAGATGGATAAGTGATTTCGGGACCCTCGCTGGCCGGGAGGCCGTGAACACAAGTAATCGAACTGTAGACAGAGGCTGTACGGTGGCCCACGGTCGGTTTTTGTGTGACTATGTATGCACTAAAAGCTTCCCTGGGTGGCAGCGCGACTGAGATGCAGCTGGGATGGATCGGGGTTGGTGACAGGGCAGAGGGACCCTGGCTCGGATTTTAGAGTGGCTGTTAAGTCAATCAAGGATTCCGGTAGGTTTCCATAACCATAATTCTCCGCCTGTGTTGGTCTTGCTAGATGAGCCAAAAGTTCATCCGCGTCAGGATTTTTGATGCAGGAGCAACTAGACACAATATGCGGCGCCGATTGGGCAGGTAGTGTTGTGAGCAGGCGAGGTACCTTGCGAGGCGCAATAGTGAGAGAAAGGAGTACCTAGGTAGCAACCCTCCAGATTTTTTTCCCTTTCAATTTTGCTTCTGTTGAACACCGAGAGAATGGTCGTGATTAACCGGCCAAGGGTACCTTTCGAATTTGATAGTGGGGGTGTAAGGCAAGATCAAGACGAACAAGGGAGCAGGATGTTGGATGGAGAGGGAGCCGCCGTAGTTAAGTCGGGCCCGCGCCGACTGGTTGGGCCTGATATCGGCTGTCCCGAAGAGATGGAATTGACAGAACGAAAGGCAGTATAAAGAAGAAAAATAGACTAGCAAGCGACCAGGATAGCAACAGGAGCGATTAT